CATTTCACTAATTTGGCACTGGTTTGGGTTGAACCAGTGCCATTTCTATTATACTAACTTCCGCTTAATTTTTTTGCCACCGGTTTTAAAGAACCGGTGCTAATGACTCGGTGCCAAAATGAGTTTTTCTACTAGTGAGTAGGGGTGTACACCGGTCCAAAACCGGACCGGACCTGGACCGGACCTGTTTGGACCGGGGACCTGAATTGGGTAATTATGAGGACCAGGGACCGGACCTGAATTAACAGGTCCGGTTCCGGGCTAGACCTGAAAAATCAGGTCCGGTCCAGGTTTGGACCTGAATGAACCTGTTTTGTGATTTTTTTCGTTTTTTTATTTTTTTATAAAAAACTTGTTGGACCTGCATATGGACCTGCGTATGGACCTGTTTTGTGATTTTTAGACCTGTTGCATAATTAAATAATTACATACAAACCAAAATTATTAATCACAAAAGCACAAAAGTACCAAATTTTTTTTTTTTTTTTTTAAAATACAATTTTTCCGGGTTTCAGGTCCGGACCTGAAAACCCCGGGTTTAGACCGGGTCCGGACCGGAACCGGGAACCTTGATTTTTAAGGACCGGGACCGGACCTGAATCAACAGGTCCGGGTCAGGTCCGGTCCGGATCAGGTCGGTTAAGGTCCGGTTTCAGGTCCGGTCCAGTTTTTGTACACCCCTACTAGTGAGTACTAGTTCGTTTTGATGTTTGTCAAACGTTTGTCATACAAGGGAATTATGACAGAAACACTCGGGTGGCTAGGTCCTCTTCGTAAGGGAAGCTAACAGTACAAGACTGAGAATGTCCCCCTATTAACAATAGGGAAAATGTATTTGTTGTTTACAAGACCTCTAGAAGAGCGAGACTGTGAAAATGCATGGCCATGCGCAGATGGATTTTAGAAATCATCTGTTTATTGACAATCAAACTCAAAAATCGAGAAAACTTCTAGACGTAATAATGATGACGAAGAATCTTTCCTTATAATTCATGAAGAGACATTAAGTGACATAGGAAATAGACTTTATGCTAATAGCACACTTGTCCGGAAGGACAAGTGGGAGATTGAAATGAATGGTGTCCCTTCAAACAAGTGTATTATTCTAATAGAGGGTTCAAAATTATTAAAAAGCTTATTATTCGGTAAGATCAAGTAATCGAAATGCCTAGGTGGAGGTCGCTTCAATGCATAATTAATATTACAGCTTAATCATGACTGAACCCTTCGGGTCACACCCAATCGAGTAACCTAACCGAAATGAAGAATTAATTTGAAGGATTAAATGAGTTAATAGAGTTATTACGAACTAAGATATCGGATTTCGAGCTTGAGCATCGAAGCCGAGTGTCGAGTCATTTTAAGGAATCGGCGAGACGAGAAAATAAGTCAAATAACAAGTCATGGGACCTAGCGTTGGATTGGCCAAGCCAATTGAGGACTAGGCTGCACTAGCTTAGCCTCGGTAGCAGGCCTAATAGCCATGCATGTGCGCTAGCCGGGCATGTTGGCCGAGCTACTTGGCTAGCAACCAGGCCATGCGAGCTTGGCTTAGTGGGGGAGATAGTAGCCCTAGCATCAGCGCTACCATACTAGCACTAGTCCGCAAGCACGCGAGTAGGCCTAGTAGCATCCCGCTAGCTCGCGTAGGCTTCCGGCATACTAGCAAGCCCAACCAAAGGGCCAAGTATGCAACATGGCATGCCTTAAGGCCCAAGGCTTGGGGTGTGCCATGAACATGGGATTGGTGGGTGTATGCTTGCTCTCCAAGGATGGGTTTGTAGTCCTTATCTACTCCTTCCCTCATGTTAACACCTGTCATTTGACTAATGCATAGCTAATTAATTATATTGTAGGGAATATTTCAAGCATCCCACAATTGAGCCCCATTATGATCATACACTTAACCATGGTGGCATCCAGAGGGAAGGAAGCTAGAGTAAAAGAGTCGCCAGCAATTTTTAGGAACTTGTAAACCGTTCACAGGGTGAAGGTTACACCCCTTAACGATCCAGGAGATCGTTAACTCCAATAGGTTTGGAACCATGACTGGAAGTTCGGGGATGAAGGTACAAATCCAACCTAATAGAGATTGAATCTGCCCTAAAAATAGGCCTATACATTATTCTTCTTGTATTCATGTGCGCTTTCTGACTAACATACAATCATTAGGTTAACCCTAAACCTGTTTATCTATGTTGGTTGAATATTAATGCACAAACAAATCTATTATTGGCGATCACTTGAATTATAATCATATTAGCCTAAACAAGATAATTAATTATCTTATTAAGCATGATTAC